ACTCGAAATTCTAGACCTAGAAAACCTAGAACTACACCGCCTTCAGTCCGATCTAAGTATAGTATATAAAATAATACATTGCAATGTCCTACCTGTCAATGAATACTTCAGCTTCAACCATAACAACACTAGAGCAAACAATAGATACAAACTCAAGGTTAATCGCACCAAACTTGATTGCAGGGAATACGACTTCAGCAACAGAGTGGTCAATGTCTGGAATACTCTACCTGACTCTGTGGTTTCTTCCCCAAACCCCAAAAACTTTAACCTTAGACTGTCTACTATTGACCTCACCCCTTTCCTAAGAGGTCTGTAGGGGGCGTGCATAAGTGCACCAATGTGCCTACCATCCCTGTCCTATTGTTTCTTTTATTTTTTTATTTTTCTTATATGTATCCATGTATTCATAACTATGTTTTTACTTATACCTATTATCTTGTAAGCAATTGACAAATAAAAATAAATAAATAAATAAATAAATAAATAAATAAAGTTGTTGATTACAGATGTAAAATTGTTCTGAAATCTGACACAATTAACCATAAGGACACTACAGTGAAGCTTAAAGCAAGATGGAAAAACAGAAAAAAGGTGCCAGGGGCATAACTGAGGCTACCTGATGCATTCCTGTATATATCAATGAAAGGTGTTTCCCCCCTCCCTACATCAAGACGTGCAATTTTTTGTTGTATATATCAGTGGGACCACAGGATAGCACATAATGTAATCTTGAAAAGGAGTTTTTTAGTTACTTGGTCCAATCATTATGACACAACTGTTCGTAATGGTTATATTATGGTATGACTGCTGGAACCATATGTCAAAGGATGCTGACAGCACTATATGTCCCGGCTGAAATTCTGAGCAAATAAAAGAGTGAATAAAAGAAAAAAAAGAAATAAAAGAAAATGTGAGTTCTCTAAAGGACAATATTCTTACTGCAATATTGTAACATGTGAAATGGCCCGCTATCAAGTGGTCCCTATATTATACTTTATGGCTTGGTGTTTTATCCAATTAAATTAAAAACATCAAAGCATCTGAAGGTTGTGTTCAGTAATAAGCAGAAGGCAACATTCTATAAGCTGATTACTGGGACAGAAGGCATGGGGAAACAGATTGGTGTGAAGACATTCTCAATAATGGAATACCAACATTTCTGCCCCTAACTCAACTACTGAAAAAAGGGTCTGAGCTGACGCAGAAGTTCTGCAGAATAATCTATTGGACCCTATGGACTATGTGCCTACTTCTTAAAAAAGCTTTCCACTGCCATAGCAGAAACTGTAAGCATAATCTTTGAAAAATCCTTCAGGACCAGCTCCTTGCCCAACCTATGGTCACTAGCCACAGTTATCCCCATCTTCAAAAAGGGAGACCCCAGCCTAGTTGAAAATTACAGCGGATCTCTTTAAGTTGCATCACCTGCAAAGTCATAGAATCAATTATTAACTAATCCATTGCCCTCCACTTAGAGACAAACAACCTACTCACTAACAAACAATTTGGTTTCAGAAAAAAATTATCCTGTAATCTACAACTCCTACACTGCAAAAACATACGAACTATACAAGTCGATCAGGGCAAAGCAATGGACATAATTTACATAGACTTCTGTAAAGCCCTTGATTCAGTGGTACATGACAAACTACTTGTAAAACTAAAATGGCATCTCCGGACATCTGAATAATTGGATAGCTGCATTCCTGTCAAACAGGCAACAAATGGTCAAAATAGGGAGCGCGCTGTCAAATCCCGTATCTGTCAACAGCGGTGTCTCCCAAAGCAGCATTTTAGGACCAACTCTCTTTATATTTTACATAAATGACCTTTGTGACCATATTAATATGTTCTTTTCGCTGATGATGGAAAACTATTCAACATCACGAACAATACTGCTACCCTTCAAAAAGACCTTGACCAGGGGTAGGATTCTACTGGTTCGGATCAGTTCAGGTGAACTCAAATGTTAAAGTTACAGCTGGTTCACGGAACTGGTATTTCAACTGACTGGCTGACCCCATCCCTCCCACCCCACCCCTCCCAGGAGTCTCCATGTGGCCCATTTTCAATGGAGGTAAGTGCAGGGTCCACTCATAAGCACTGGGAGGGGGAAAAACGGGCCTTCTTGAAGTCCAGAAACGGGCCTGTTTCCGACTTTCGGAGGGCCTCCAGAGCCCGGGGAAGGCCATTTTCACCCTCCACGAGGCCCAGAGGAGGCGTCTGGACCCTTGGGAGGTAAAAAAAAACAGCCTTCCTGAAACCAGAAGTCACAAAACGGGCCTGTTTCCGGATTTCAGTGGGCCTCCAGAGGCCGGGGGGCTTTTTTCACCCTCCCAGAGGCCTGGGAAGGTGAAAACGGCCTCCCCAGGACTCTGGAGATCCCCTGGAAGCTGCAAACAGGAAGTACTGGTAGCCCCACCCATCATGGCCCCGCCCACCCAGCAACAGGGCAGCGAAACAGTTGCTGGGATTTTTGAATCCCACCCCTGACAGAATGGTCAAACAAGTGGCAACTTCAAATCTCAACAAAAAAATTCTGTCTTACATATTGGCAAAAAAAATCAGAAAATAAAATACAAGCTGAATGGACTTGACCTTGTGGACGATGCTCACTCTGTCAAGGACCTTGGAGTACTCCTCTCTATGATTTAAGTGCTAGAGCCCACTGTAACAACATTGCCAAAAAGGCATTAAGAGTTGCTAACCTAATCCTGCGTAGCTTTTTGTAATATTGTAATATTGTACTGCAAACTAGAGCATACAAAATATTTACTAGACCAACTCTCAAATACAGCTCACCTGCCTGGAACCTGCATTGCATATTGGACATTAATACAATTGAGAGAGTCCAGAGATATTTCACGAGAAGAGTTCTCCATTCCTCTACTCGTTGCAGAATACCTTATGCCACCAGACTTGAAATTCTAGACCTAGAAAACCTAGAACTACGCCGCCTTCGGTCCGATCTAAGTATAGTATATAAAATTATACATTGCAATGTCCTACCTGTCAATGACTACTTCAGCTTCAACCACAACAATACACAAGCACACATTAGATACAAATTCAAGGTAAGCCACACCAAACTCGATTGCAGGAAATACGACTTCAGCAACAGAGTGGTCAATGTCTGGAATACACTACCTGACTCTGTGGTTTCTTCCCCAAACCCCAAAAACATTAACTTAGACTGTCTACTGTTGATCTCATCCCATTCCTAAGAGGTCTGTAAGGGGCGTGCATAAGCGCACCAACGTGCCTACTGTCCCTGTCTTAATGTTTCCTTTTTATTCATATCCATTTCATGTATTAATAATCATGTTTATACTTATATCTGTTATCTAATTCATGCCTGACAAAT